AAGGTGATAAATCAATTTCTTAGGTGTCACTGATGGGATACACTTTTAATTTAAAATCGTCGAAAGTGGATATCTAATCAGTTAAGACAACCCACTTGAAACAATTTTAAATTAAAAGGATATTACCCTTAATCCAATTATGTAATAATGTCGAGTCATGCTTATGAGGATATCATACATAAACTAGTTAAATAATACAACTCATTCGAATAAATATTTAAATCTAAAAATGCACATATAATTATATATTAAACAAATAAACCTACTATGTTAATATGCAACAAATATTTTCTTATGTCTAATCATTTAATAACTGCAAATATAATATTTATCTCATTTACTTAAGGTTGAAAATAAAATAAAAATTGCATAACATGCATAAAAATGTACATACCATACATAAATAGTAATATGAATGTCATTACTTATGGAAAAATTAAATCTACCGCTAAAAACCCAATTCTAAATTTAATGCTACCATATAGGACTAAAATGACAAACACTAAAGCTAGGCAACCAAAATACAAACTGATCAGTAAATTAATCAAAACAACTAGGATTGAATTACCAAATACCAGAAATTATAAGCTAAATGTGAAAACAAATAAAAAGGGAAAATAACATAGGCTGAGGACTAAAACATAACATGTTTACAATACACAGACCAAAATACAAACACAGAAATTTAGGACCAAAACAGAATGCTCGGAAAATAAGAAGACTAAGTTACTAATAAACAGATTACATTCCAGGACCAAAACAAAACAGTTTCAAAACTGAAGGATCTCGTACCAGATTAACCCAACTATCCTAAAACGCGGCGTATCACTCCCAGACTCAATGCGCTGCCGTTTTGGAACTACATGAACGACGCCGTTTTGGCGTTTTGGATATATGGAAACAAAGGGTAAGCTTTAACCCTAATCCTCATTCATCCTATCTCTAAACAGCTGAAACCTCACCCCGTTTTCTCTCAACCTCTTTCCTCTTCTTCTTCAACCCTCACCGAAGCCCCCAACCGCCGTGGCCTCCGCCGCCTAAGGGCTCCGATGAGGAGCCTAGACGTCACCTGACCCTTTGCCGACCAAACCCAAAACCAAAAGGGGTAAAAACAACCCTAACCTCACTGCCACACCACACGACAACCGTGGGTTTCCCCTTTCACTCGTCTATTTACTTAAAACCCAGGCCTCCACCACTTAAATACTCCGACGAGAACCCCCATGTCCTGACTCAGAAACCCCAACTAGATCTAGCCTTTTAGAGACCTACGACCCACAAATAAACACGAAAACAAAACCCTACATACCCACCACTCGAAACAGGAACCAAGAGTCACGCGAATCTTACCCTTGACGACCCAACGTGGCTCGGGCTTGGGCGATGGCGACGTTCTGCTCTTCGACTAAGGAAGGTGAAGGTTTTTTTTGTTTGCTTCGTCTTTTGTTGACTGATATGCTAATGGGTTTTCCGACTCTGGTTCTCTCGATGATCCCTGGTTTGGTAATTGTGTTTTTTTTCTTCGATGATAGCTGATGGGTTGAGCCCTTTTTTTTTGCTTGGGTGATGACTGATAACTCCCCGGACCCAAAATCCCCCTCTGGTTTCGTTTTCACTGCTAGTTCTAGTTGATTTTTTCTTTCTGTTTTTTTGTGCCTTCTGTTCTGCTTCTTGTTTCGTGTGTTCGCAGGGCACTGGAGAGAGCAGATCACGGGCAGCAGCTGTGGGTAGCTGAGCCATTGCTCGGTTGGTCGTGCGCTATCTGGAAATGCGGTGGTGGCTTCACATGAGTCTGCAGTCGGCTCGGGAATCACAGAGGGCTGGGAACCGTTGGATCGTGGAGCCAGATCCAACGGCCTTCCTGCTGCGGCGCTAGACATAGGGCAAAAAACCCTAAATCACTCACCATTCATTTCCAACCGTTAGATGAGAGCCTCAGATCGTGCGGTTCAGACAAGGTGGCGCTGTGAGCTTCTTCAGTAGAAACCCTAATGGGTTTAGTTTTGCAATTGGGCCTATCTGGTCCAGCTTGTTTTAAGTTGATGTAGGCCTGTACCATTAATGATAATATTAGTGCATTTTAATTATTTATTTATTTAATTACTTAATACACATATATATATATATATATATATTAATAATTACTTATAACAATATTAATAATAATAAATTTGAATTAACTTCGAATAAGACCCCGGACAAATCGAGTATCTACAATACTATTTGAACCCGAATCACATAAACAACAAACCACCCATTACCACTAGGACCAATCCTTGGTTCATGTAATAACTTATTTGTCTTTGTGCTAGGAGTCATGAGAGCATCAAAGGCATCACCACATCAAAGTTTGAGAATAGAGCAAAAATTGCGTTGGAATTGCAAATATTGTGTAATATCTTTTAGTTGTAAATGTACTTGGTTTGGACTTTTTGCAACTTTATGGGTTTTGTGACCTATACTTTTGAATTTGGATTAAACTTGTTGTAATTGATTTCTAACTTTGCGTTTTCGTAATATGTACTTTGGGTTAATGTTTTTATTACTATTTAAGTATGAAATGGAAGAGATTGTTTGACTGCATGAAGTATATGTCTCAACCGTATCTGATAGAGATCGAGGTTTACTTCAAGGTTTTGGAAGTCTTTGAACAAGGCCTTAGGAACTTGACTTAATATTAGCACCACTTTCCATCATAAGACAGATGGTTAGTCAGAGCAGATTATTCAGGTTTTAGAAGTAAATCTAAGGGAGTGTGTGATTGAGTTTAAAGGATCGGGAGAAAATTTTCATGCTAAGTTGACCAAGTGTAAATGTTGATTGGCTAAGGAATAGCCATGTAGACTCAACTAAGGGGATAAGAATATATATCAAGGAAGTATGAGATAGAGTCGGATGATAAATCCCAAAGAATGTTTTCGAATTTCAAAGTTTCTTGGGATTTTTTGGTTACTATCGAAGGTTCATAAAGAATTTTCCAATGATTATATTCCCTCTGACCAAGTTATTGAGGAAAGACATGTTATTTATTTGGATTGTTAAGTGCCAAGAAAATTTTGAGATGTTAAAAAGAATGTTGACATAAGCTCCAAGGTCGTTATAATTAGAATCTGGAAAAGATTAGGTAAATTATAGTAATATGTCTCATAATGGTTTAGGATGTGTGTTTGTACAAGAGGAAGTTTTGTTTTATGCTATAAAGCAATTAGAGAATTATGAAAGAAATCATCTGGCTCACGATCTCAAGTTGGCAATAAGTGTGGTTACTTTGTTGATATTACATCATTATCTACATGGTGAATGACGCTATATCTATACGGATCTCAAAAGCCAAAAGTATGTATTGACTTGAAATAGTGAAAAGAAAGTAAATTGATTTAATTCCTTAAAGAATGATGACGTGATTATCAACTGCAAACATGAAAAGTTAATGTGGTGGATGATAAGATAAAACCGAAAGATAATTCTATTCTGAGAGTTTTGAATATGTGAGTGTCTTTAAATAAAGATGGTTTTGATTTTATAATTAAATTTAAAGCCTATGTTGTTGGATCGAATAAAGGATCTTAAGAGAAAAGATAAAAATTTTCGTGCTTGTCAAATATAGAACAAGCAGGAAAATGAGAAACTAAAGACTTTAAGTCTGATGAATGTTTATATTACCGAGGAAAGTGTTTAGAAGTAGATATGAAAAGAGTTATCATCAAGCTTGTTTCTAAATGGTTGACATGTCAGCGAGTTAAAGTAAAGTATCAAGATAGCTCCATATGAAGCTTTATATGGAAGAAAGTGTCGGACACCATTAAATTGGTTTTAATTGAAAGATCGAGACATAGTGGGGCAAGATCTAATCAAAGAAATCGAAGAGAAAGTGAGGATTATTCAAGATTCATAATGTTTTCATGTTTATTTACTCAGAAGATATAGATCAGATCATTCTCACATTATAGCACCATAAGAGATAAAGGTCCAATCTGACTTGACATATGAGGAATAACCACTGCATATTTTAGCACATGAAGCCAAATAACTAAGGAACAAGACGATTCAGTTAGTTAAAGTTCTTTGGAGAAATCACAAAGTTCTATTTGACCATGTTAATTTTAATTAAATATAAGATGATTCTCCTATTATTAGAGATGATGAGGTAAACATTTTTACCACATTCATTGTTGTTGAATTTTAGAATATTTTGATTTTCGATATCAAAACTATATCATGAATGGATTGTCAGATATACTATATGAAGTGTATAGTATCCATAAAACGACTAAAGAATTATGGGTGGTATTGGAATATCAATACAAAGCAATAGAATTACCTTAAAGGAAATGATAAACGTCATGTTAAGATGTTATGGGTTGTCACAAGACATGTTAGGGGAGTTGTTTTACAAGTTAATTACCTTTTAAATAAGATGCCCCACAAGAAGATGAACAAGACTCCATATGAATTACGAAAAGGTAAAGAACCTTCCTACAACTACGTGAAAGTGTAGAGGTAACTTTCAAAGGTAATTGATACAAATAATTTTAAAGTACATTTCTGAATGGATAAAATATGTGCCCAAAATGTGCATATATTGTGATAAACAAGCAACAATTGGTCTAGCACATAATGCAATGTATAATGGTTATTCGTCATCGGTAAAATACCATTAGACAAATGATCTTAAATTAGAGTTATCTTTCTTGATTCTATAAGATCAAAAGATAACATTGTAGATTTGCTAACTAAAAGGTTAAATCAAGATCAATTTGATAAAATATCTAAAGGAATATGACTAAAGCCCATGAATATTTAAGGTGCTATGTGAAGGAAAATCCAACCTAGTTGATCGAGATCCCAAGATCTAAGTTTAATGGGACAACCTACTTATATAGACCTTGTGAGGTCACTGTGGGGTTCTTATCACAGGTCCATTCCTATGATGAAAACAATAACTATAATGTGGAAAAGGTTAAACAATGCTTTTAATGATCATTTTGTGTTTTGGTAAGCTAAACAACATAAGTTACCTATGTGAGAGTGAAGTGGAGCCGCTTCAAGGAGACTATTGGGACATAATTCTCTAAGCTCTTGCAGAACCAGGAGATGTCCACAACTATATACACATTGTCATAACCATTTTTAAAGAATTAAAAATAATTATGATTTTATTTTGAGAAAATGGATATATTTTATGAAATTTGATTTTAAATTTGAATTTAGAGTCACCATCTAGGTAGGTCGAATACCTAAAAACGTCTTATAAAATTATTTTAAGAAAAATCATTTTAAAGACAAAAATTAACATGCGTTCATCAAAAATTCATTTTTAAAGGCTCGGGAGTCGGTTAGGCGTGAAGAAGGATTAACATCCCCACAGTGTCCAAAATTAGTACATGATCGCTTATACATTGTCGTTGTAGTAGAATTTGTAAATTCGAGTCAAAAATTAAAAATATTCATTTTTAGCGAACATTGATTAATTATTTCGAATCACAAAAATTACACAAAAATAGACTCAATTTATTTCAAGTTTGTTTTTCGTTTAAATGTCATCAAATCGCACTACTTCTATCAAATTGTGCTTTTCACATCTATTGTACGATAAACGTTCTTGAAATTACACAAGTAAGATATTTAAAGTATTATTAAATATAAAAAATAATTAATAAAATTTAAAATATATGTACAGAAATGTAATGTGTAAAATATATGTACATAAATATACATACACATAGACATACATACATAAAATATATATATAAATATAATAGTTAAAACATATCACAAATATAATATATAATATATAATATATAATATATATACGGTATATATATACATATAAAACTTGATAACCATGACATATCACGCATTTAATAATGATAAATATTTATAACATAAATGGGAATACAATGAATGCAGAAACAATCCTAGGAGTTAAAGTGAAATTCGCACTGGGACCAAAATATCATAATTGAAGAACAGGGGCCAAATCAAGTTCCATCCAAAATTAAAATGATTACATGAGTAATATGACAAACATTAAGAAATGGGAAAGAGTGCTCCATCACCTCGCCTGGAAAGTACCACAGTTGTCCACCGCCACCCTCTGGTGGTCGTTCGACGTCAAACTTCACAGAGAGGTTCGTCTCAACACTGGAAACTTGGATCTGACCTTGGTTTGTCCGAAAAATACTCGGTGTGGACGAAACAACATCGAAACCTTTCGATTTTCACTCTCCGATCTATGTTATCGGACCGTCAGATCGACTTGGTTTCAAGATATGTTGCTCCCCTCAGTTTGGATTCACGAACTGACAATCGGAGCTTCGATTCCGGTGAGACCACAACTATGAAAGGTAAACATTTTCTTCTTTTTCTCTCAGTTTCTGTTCTGTTTTTGTTCGACCCTCCCCGTTCGTTTCTCTTTCTCCCTTTCTGAATGGTCGCATGTAATTTTAAAACAATGCTTCTGTATGTTTACTATTGGGACGATGATGGTGAAGCTATGGCATAGAGGTGATGATGGTGGGCGATGGGTTTACTGTTGAAATCCCGGATTTTCCGGGATATTTGGTATTTGATATGATTTTTATTTTGGTGGATTTTTATGGAACATGAGCAAATTGAATCAGGCTTGATGACGGTGACGGTGTGGAGCTCCGGTGGTGACGGCGACGTAATATGGCGACGCGACTCTTCTTCTCCTTGGCGGCGACAGTAGTTAGGGTGAAAACCCTAAAATTAGAGTTAGCCAAAAAATTGTAATATAATAGGCTTAGGATTTGTAATTGGGCCATTGGGTTAGAGCTTGCTATGTAATTGGGTCGGTTGGCCTGCAAAAAAATAATAATTAATATTAATATTAACATAATAATAATATTAATGATAATAATAAAATAAATAATATTAATATATATAGATAAAATTCGGATGAAAACAAGTGTCAATAGACATAATCATGAGAACCAAATTTTTATCAGGTAGATAATTGTGTAAGGTATGTCATCGTTTACACAAATAATATGTCAATTCAAGGATATCACGTTTATTGGATAGCCAGTAAGATAAACATATTTTAACATGGGAAGGCTCAAAGGGGGCATCTACCTATCTTATGTAAATATTGAACGTAGAATCTATCATTACATCGAGCCATAGTTTGAAATCATCAATTTTATTCATGTGGGATTGTTGAAAAAATAATAATAATTAAATAAAATTGATGCTATTCGTAACAAGTTACGTCACTTGATGAATACACTTATCTTTTAGTTTAAAATTGCATCTATTCAATTATACTTATTAGTTTTTCAACAATTCTTTTCATGAAAGGTTTTAACTCTTCGTCAAAAAGTCTTAACCTTTTGATTCATTTTTCCTCCACTATAAATAGGTTAGTTAAGGCACAATTTTAGACAATTCCAAATCGTTGGAATAGGAAAACACATAGAATTTCCTTCCAAATTCGTTTGTCTGGTGATAGAGAACGGTAAGATTGTGTTCGACTAATCATTAAGGTTATGCTTATTGTTGTGATCGTTTGTTGTTGTGTACTGGGAGACCGACGTCTAACGTTACTCAAAGTACCGAGGAGAATATGAATCTTTCTTAAGGCAATTTTTCATGCAGGCCTCAACAAAACTTCATATTCTAATTATCTGACTCCGCTCATCCTCGATTTCATGTCAAAATACAAATAAACAATTCTATTTCTTTACTTTATTTCTTAATTTATTTTGTTTCGATCGATTCAATAATAATATTTACTTGTTTTATTATTATTTTATTTCTCAGATTAATATTTTGTCTAACGATACATGAAAACAAGAGTTCAGAAAGAGCCCGAAATATTAAAAAAAAGTGTTTTTTGGAAGTGCAGAAAATGCTTCATGTTTAGGGAAGCGTCTAACTCTCGAAGCACATCTTGGAAGTGCTTTCATGGAGGAACATAAATAACATGTTTCGTCAAAAATTAACACAAATTGAGATTAGCTCAATGGTTGGGGGTTACTGGAATACTTTTTTTTCATATTAGATGGTAAAATTTATTAAATTATCTTTTTAATAGTCTAGAGTGATTACAAGTTATTATTTATTTAGAATCGTTTTTAACCATTAACAACGTACACACCCTACAGACGTAACTATTCGAACTCAGAACCTCTAGGGAGAATAACACTCCTCTTGACCATTGAGGTCTCTTGATGAGTTCAGTTTACTAAATTATTTTAAATTAAGACCAAACTAATAGAATATATAAATTTTATGAATACAACTGTTATTATATCATATCATATCACCATTTTCATTAAATCAATTATTAAGCCTAACTACCAGTGACTAAAATAGAAACATAGGAATAAATAAGATACCAAACAAGTAGTTTACCTTTTTTTGTTCATCAATGGATTCAACAATATTATCAATTCTATTTTTAACATTAATAAAACTCTCGCGCACATTACAAATAATACTATTTCAACCCAAATCACGTAAACAACAAACCACCCATTACCACTAGGACCAATCCTTGGTTCATATCATATATATATTTTTCAAGAAGATTAGAATGTTCATAGAATTGTATTATATTTATGTTTTGCTCTATCATCAATGTTTTAAGCTGGTCGATCGACAGACATTGTAACACCCTAATCCAGTCTGACACGAAGGTTCATGGATCACGATCTCACATGAAACCACAAAGATGGTCAATCCAAAAATTTCTTTTAAAACATTTATAAACGTCAAAATAATTCATCATAATATAAGTGGAATCGAAATCAAGTTTACAAAACGTGGGAGTCTCCCAATACGTACAAATGCATCCATAGAGTATAAATCAAAATACCATAAAGTATAAATCAAAATAGAGTTATGACTCGATCGTACAAAAGGTCCATATAAAATAAGTGCCCTCTAAAATAGACTCAATTCAAACTTTGCAAACGTCTGATCTGGAATGTACTGATGCGATAAGCTCCTTAACTATCCTCTACTAACTTGCGCACAGAAACATATTCCATACACTAAGCTCACAAGCTTATTGCCACGAAAATAACTAAGCAATACTAAATGCATTCATTTCATGAACATGCATGTCTACAGAGTCATAAACATGCAAAAGTACATAGCAAACATGAGGTAGGCCAAGTGGTGTGGTCGGAGGAATTTACGCGCATCTCAGACAACACACTAGCATATCTAGAATGTGATAACTTCGGGGTAAGAACCAAAATTTACGTGCATCGAAACTTATAGCCCTTAGTCTACCTCGGATACTCGAGAGGTCATGATGGGGTCCGAAATTTACATGCATCGGAAGCTCACATTTAGAACCTAGTCGAGCATAAGATACAATTATGGAATTTATGTGCATCAGAATTTGTACCAGTACGACCCGAAATTTACGTGCATCAAATGCGTACCAATAGACAATATCTGGATATTCACAAACAAAGGAAAATCGCCATAAAGCTAAAGTAACTCGGGGGTCCTACAGTTTCCCGAGCATCATACAAAGGTAAATCTTATGTCATCATAACTTGATTGATTTCTAGGTGAGAATTTAGTAATATTGATTGGTTTCAGTTGTATTGAATACTTGTCGAACTTAAAACACTCAAGCCCGAACGCCCCAAACCATGTCAACCAAATTGCCCAAAAATCAGCGATGGTCCAACAACATCGATATTGACCCTTGGGTATCGATACTCACCTGAGTATCGATACCAAAATCAACTTCGATGTTTTGTAAAATACCTTGGTATCGATACACCTATAGGGAGTATCAATACTCTTATATGGGTATCAATACCCCATGAGTTGCAACACCAAAAATGACTTTGATGTTTTTAAAAATGCCTCAGTATCGATACTTTCCCTCTGAGTATCGATATTGAACCCTATAGTATTAATACCCCTGTATAGAGTATCGATATTTCCCTCACAAAATAACTTTATTTTTACCTTTCACGAAGAACAAAATTGGTATCATTCTTCCAGTACCGATACTGACGACCCTATGAAATTGCATAAAAATCTCACTCATTCACCCCCTAAGACTAACGAAGCTTATTAAAATCTTATTTGAGGTCTTAGAGGTCAAAAGATATCAACTTTCATACTTGCGAACAATAAATACGAATTTCACCATAAATTTACTCTAGCATGCTTTCATGACCTAAACATACCAAATATGCACACATAATGACCTACATGTGGTATGGACAAGTTAGAATCGTGTTACTTTGAAGATAGGTGGAAAAAAACGTCATCAAATCACCCAATGACTAGTTTCTCCTTGCCTCTAGCCTTTAAGCTCTCATCTTACTCTTGCACTAATCAAGACAAGTTTAATGAGTTGCTAGCTCATTTTAAGTCTTAGGAATAGGCTAGAAAAGTTTTCTTACAACTCAAATCCCATAAAACGAACTATAAATTAGGATTTCATGAACCCTCACTAAAACATATTTTTGGGTATCTAAGCTAAATCTTGCAAAAGAGGGCTTGAAAGAAAGCTTAGGAGTTGTAGTTCATGAGTCTTACCTTATAATTTTTTATAGAGACTTGCAACAATAAAAGCTTCTACCTTTGTCTTAGCTTTGGAGGGAAGAAGAAAAAGAGAGTAAGGAGAATGAGACAAACTTTTGTGACAAAGAGGTGAAGGTTGCCAGACGTGAAATCATCAACCATTAAAAGGTTTCATCCTTTTGTTTGAAAAATGAAATAATTACTCCTCTAGTCCTTCTACATTTGGGTTAAGATTAAAACTCCCTTTTTAAGGTTTGTTGGGCTCATCTCAAGCCCAAATCAAATCCTTTTAGGTCCAAAGATTCATAAACTATAAGGAAATTATTCTAAGGCTCATTCGAATAAACCCAAAACTTCTAACCCATATTTTGGGGTGTTACAAACATTTTGGTTGCTTTGATAAACCTCGGGTTCATTACAAAAAAGTGGTACAACAAACGATTGTGGAGTAGACGACTCAGAAGAAAGCATTCTCGTGATATGTTTTGGTGAAGGAAGTCCTTATATTGGTTAAAGCAGTCCCCAAGGACATGATTCAGTCAATTTGCCAAAGCCATGACAGTCGTGGATACACCCAAAGGCAAGCTGATCATACTATGTTTTTCAAGCACTCTGGAACCGATAAATGTGCAATACTTATCGTTTACGTTGACGACATCATACTTATATGGAATAATCCAAGTGAAATCATTCAACTGAAGAAGTTTCTTAGCACATAATTTGAGTTTAAAGACTTGGGAAACCTCAAATACTTCCTTGGAATAAAAGTAGTAGGGACTCGGATAGGTTTATCAATTTCCCAACCATAAATATATCCTTGATTTATTGTCCAAAACTAGTATGTTGGGTTGTAAACTTGTCGAGACCCCAATGGAGTTCAATAAGAAACTAGGCACCGATAAGGATGCAAAAGAAATGGACAAGGGGAGATATCAACTACTAGTAAGGAAACTCATATATCTATCTTACACACAACCTGATATTGCTTTCGTATTAAGCCAATGCACCAAGAGAGAAACACTTAGAGGTTGCCTACAAAGGAATACGATATTTAAAAGGAACTCAGAAACAGAAAGAAAATGTGTGGAGATTTATACTGGCGTAGATTGGGTTGGTTCAGTAAGTGACTGACACTCTACGAGTGGATACTGTAGCTATGTATGGGGTAACCTTGTGACGTGGAGAGGTGAAAATCATTCAGTTGTAGCTCGTAGTAGTGCCGAGGCAGAGTTTCAAGCATTGTACCATGGGATATGCAAGGGAATTGGGATACAACGACTAATGGAGGAACTGCAAGTACCGTATAAACGACCGATGAAGATGTATTGTGAAAAACAGACAGCAGACAATATAGCCCATAATCTTGTCCACCACGATCGTGCCAAACACATGGAGATAGATCGACACTTCATCAAGGACAAAGTCAACTCAAGGGAGGTGTGCATAACTTACTTATCAACTAAGCAACAAGTTGCAGACTTGTTAACTAAAAGTCTCAACAAAACTCTATTTGAAGAACTTAATGGGAAGCTGGGTTTGATCAATATCTACACAACAATTTGAGGAGTGTTGGAATTCCATAAATTAATAGAATTGTGTAAATTATTCATATAATCTAATCCATGATTTCTAGAAGTTACATAGACTAAATATTAGCTAAATCTTAGTTCTTGATATTTAGGTATTATTTCAGATTTTTTAGGAGTTATTTCCTTTTTTTTGGGACTGTTTTTCCTATAAATTGTAAACAATTGGTTCTTAAAATAATAGTGAAAAAGAATCTTTTCCTCTCTCAGTTTTCTTCATGTTATATATTTGAGATCGTGTTTAGATTTTTTAATCAATTTTTTAGATTGTATTCACGTCATATTTAAACTTATATCTGAAAAATAGTTAAAATATAATATAAAAAATATGTATATAATGGCACAATTTATATAATATGAATTATTAACCTATAAAAATTTATATACAAGCCAGATGGTCTATGAAGATTACAAAATAATGTAGACTGTGAACATTAAACAAGCCAGAATGTCTATGAAGGTTTCAAAATATACTAGTACCTTTTCATTGTCATTGATGATCATTTCTCTCCGTAGGTGATCCGGGAACGAATGGAACGAAACCTCTTCCACCGAACACAGGCCGCATGAAGGTGTCATCAAATTTTCTCCAGTAGTAGTGCACGGTGCGGGAAGGAGTCGTCAAGAGCATTCTCAAACTGGTCAGTCGCCGGACATTCTGGTTGCTTTGATCAGCCTCTGATTCATTACCAAAAAGAGGTATGACAAACGATTGCGGAGTAGACGGCTCAGAAGAAAGCATTCTCGTGAGATGATTTGGTGAAGGAAGTAAGATGCTCACTAATGGTTTGGTCATCAATCCAAAAACCTGCATGGTTTAAAGGAGCAGAGAAATGCATAAGTAGCAGAAAACGTGCATAATTTTTATTTACACGACTGTAACAAGTGAACAAGACATTATGATCAATGCTTTTAGTGACAAAGAAAGGGATAATCTGTTATGTTTGTTTCGTGTCTTTATTTTTCGTGAAATAGTTGCATTCGACAATTGTGTCACTCTTCATATTAATACACATGAAAAAACTTGGAAAATCTTGCGGTATTCATATCGGACACATATCAGTATTCAACACTCGACTCGAATCCAAGTAGCATACATATACTATGTCTTACCACTGTGCTGAAAAGAACAACAGAGATTGTGCTGGTTATCATCATTGCATTTCCTCGTAGCTGTGTATGGCCTAAGCTGGTAAACTGCAAAGACAAATAGTTTAGTCCATCATTACACATTTTCTCTCTACTAGTTCTGCTTGTCGCGTGTATTACTTGTGAATATTTGTGTTCACAAACTATTCGAGTCTAGTTCGTTCATTTTCTAGTCAAATTCGAAGATCTCGAGCTAACAGATTTTCATAATGCTCAACTCGACTAGCTTCTAGTGTAGTTGAGTATTTTTATATTTAAGATGTATTTTATTTTTAACAAGTATTGACAAGTTACAATTCAAACTCGTACAAATAGTAGAACCTGAAATCCAGCATGAGAATTGAACTTTTTTTTTATCTCATACCTGATTGTAAGCAAGTGCCATCGAGACAGCTCCGCGCATAAGACCGGCCCACCAAATCGTAACCTGAAAATAATCGTCGACAGAGCTATGAATTCCTCAAATCTACCTCAGGCACACTCGAGATACAAATCACATATGTTACTCGAACTTGAATGCGGCAGGATACATGTATGTGTCTAATATGGCTATGATTACGGCCAAAACAAGTCGAATCAAGCTCAAGTATTGTTGAGCTGGATTTGATTTAAAAAGTTTAAAACTAAGTCCGAAATCGACTCAAAAGTTTGCAAGCTTAAAATTTTCAAGCTCGACTTGAAATAAAAAATTGAAACTTGAAACATTCTTAGACTTAGCTCGATTGAAGCTCACATTCGAACTCGAACTTAAAACTTAAGTGCATGAAAACCTTATATTATATTTTAAAAAAAGACACATGAATGATAATATTATTAATAATTTAATTCAAAAAATTAAAATTTTAATATATATAGATTTTTTTGAGTTGCTAGCTAGCTTTTCTAGTCGGGTATTAAGTAGCTCGCTTTGACTCGTTAAAAACTCGAGCCGAATCCATTCAATTCGAGTGTTGATTAAGCATTAATCGAGTTGAACTCAAATAACTCACAATTTGTCTCGTCTCATTAACAAGCCTAGTTATGATCAAAAGTTTCTAATCAAAAGTTTCTAAGTTTTTACATACATGTAAAGGATACTCCTCATATCCCTATATGACAATTGTACCTGCTGTTTGAAGTGAAGTTTCTCATGTGAAGCTTTCTTGGTGAAGTTGGATATGAAGGATAAGGGGAAAACAAAGGCTGCTCGTCCGACAAGAATCAACCCCAAAAGAATTGCACTCACCCCGATTAATTCCCCGGGGCTGCAAAGAAAAGGGATAAACTAAATCTGCATTTAAGTTACCTGTAAGATCTAAAAACTGTTTAGTATTGGCCTCACCTATCACTAATAACATTCCACTTCTCAATGTCCAATGCATCCATTCCAACATAAAGGAAGATGAAAATCTCAGCAACAAATGATAAAGTTGCAAAAGCATGCCTGCAATAATCAATTGGGAGCAATGGCACCAGTGCCATGATCAGGGTTGCCTAGCTTTCTTCCAAAATCGAAAAATGAAAAACGGAAAATAAATTCAACCTATGTTATTCAGGTATTAGTGACAATTATGAGCACGTATCTGATTAAGATATGTTCAATTTTATCTAATGTCAAAAAACCATATCAGAGGTCAAACCGGTCAGACTTTCAGATCTCAGTTCAATTGGTTGAACAAAATGGTTTATTTATTTTTTAACATTTAGAAACTTATTAATGTAATAAAATTATAAAAATAGTTAATAATTAACAAAAAAATGCATCAGCTCTTTTTTTTCCTGAAAGAATTAGCTTAACGTAATAAATTTATACCATGACTGGTTGGCTTGGCTGCTTTCTCGCAAGACCAAGAAAAGTGACAAACTAATTCAACCTATGCTATGTCACGGTGGAAACCAAATTAGGGTTTGAAAGGGGGAATTGAGGAATGGATTGAGAATTGCAGAGGGAAAATTGGGAAGAAAATACAACTAGGGATTGAGATGGCTGAACAAAACGGGCTAGAGGATGGGCAACCTGAACCAAGTAAGGAACCGACATTGAATCAGTAAATATATAAGAAACTGTATTGAATGAGAGGACTTATGAATGAAATGAACTATTTTCTCTGAATTCTTAAAACCTATTTCCTATCATCTTCTTCAATCCTTCCTAAAAAAACCCTAAAAGTTACCTGAAGTCCTAACAAACTGCCATCAGAGCCTAGCTTCCTGACAACATTAAACAGGATAAACAAAAGCAAACTTCATCCATGGCAGACCCTGCAAACTCAACTGCCATTCAGCAACAAGTTGATGAAATTCAGAATAGACTGAACCAGCTAAACGATGGTACTAAGGTGACTAAATGGTGGGAGGAGAAAGAAGGAAGGTTGAGCAGCATAGAATCAAGGTTGGGTGAGCACCAAAGTTACATGGAGAGGATACTACAGATACTTCAAGGCAAGGAAGATGAGTCAGAACAACAAAGCCTTTTCAGTAACCAGAAGGATCCCAATCATGGAACACCAAATGCTTAAGCTAAATCAGATGGAAAAAAATACCTGCACCGGCAACTGTTATTAGTGATAAGGAAAGATATTCCTATCATCCTGCTGAACCTGGTATTTTGTCAACAAAACCTAGCTTACCAACTCAACAGAACCCTCAAAACAAAACCATACCTTTTCAGACTTCACCCAGCATTCCACAGAAAATGAAAATGGGGAACAATCTGGGAAGCACTGTCGAGGTCAACAATATGGGGGAAGAATGTATGGGTACTAAAGATTCCCAAAAAAAAAATTCCTGGAAATTCAAACACTTCCATACCCAGACCTAAAATAGAACTGCAGATGTTTGATGGCAATAACCCTAGAAGTTGGACTCGGAAATGCATGAAATATTTCAACTTATTTGGAGTTCCTGCAGAACAAAGATTTGAAATGGTATCCATGTACCTGGTTGGCAAGGCTGAAACTTGGTTCGATGGGTACATAATGCAGACAAATCGAGTGACATGGCATGAATTCGAGCAGACCTATGCCATCTTTTTGGGGATCGAACTTATTCAGACATAATTGAAGAATTCAACAAATTATTGCAGAAAACTACTGTGGAAGATTACCAAGAGAAATTTGAGGAATTGAGGCCTTTCATGCTGCAACAGAACACTTACTTAGGGGAGGATTACTTTGTCTAGTTTTGTGAATGGGTTAAAGAAAGAACTCAAGCATCAGGTTGAAGTTCATGAATCCAAAACACTAGCTGGTGCATACCGACAATCTAAGCTGTATGAGTTATCCTTGGAGATAGAAAACAAGAAGTACAGGGTTCAGGTTAGAAATACATCTTATTCCAACCAAGTTGTGGCCAACAGAAACTATAGCTCTCTCCAAAGTTCAAGACCTGCACCTGCTGCACCAAATGCTAAACAGAGTCTACTGGAATATAGGAAAACCAATAATCTTTGTTTCAAATGTTGGGAAAAATTTTCCTCAACAATTAAATTCAATGGAAGAGGATGAAGAGGCTGATTTGAAGGAAGACAAAGAAGAATGCGGAGAGGAACCATTGAAAATATCCATTAATGCATTGACGGGCAATATTGGTTACAAGACACTTAGAATTCAAGGACTACTAAAAGGGAAGCCATTGAATATTCTTATTGATAGTGGAAGCACCCACAGTTTTGTGACTCCTACATGGGGCTAAAGAGGGAATAGAAGTAGTGCAGACTCATTCTTTGGCCATCACAGTTGCCAATGGGACGAAATTGTTCGGTACAGCTAATAGCAACAAAATGACTTGGAAGATGCAGGGCCATGAATTTCAGCATGATTTTAGAGTGCTACATATGTGAGGCAGTGACACGGTTCTCGGGGTCATCTGGACGAAGGAATTCAGCCCTATTAGCATGGACTTTAATGCCATGACCCTAAACTTTGACAGAATTGGTCAGAAGATAGTAATTCAAGGCTGTCAGAAAACACCAGTAGTGAAATTAATTTCTGGGGGCAAATTGCAGAAATTGGCAGAAAGAAATTCTGAATTATTGGAGGAAATGTACATGTACATGTTACTCGACTAGGACGAGAGTGTCAAGTACGGATATTTATTCGACACAAGTATGGTCAGTTTTTTCTAAGTTTTCCATATAACGGATGGTTCTTGAATAATCATATCTCTATCTCTATATTCTAATAGGTGTCTGATCCAACTATCGAAACAACAAAGAATTTAACCATTCAAATTAAATGCTTTTGGATATTGGACATACTTGGTTGTCACTCTCGAACTTTCTGTAACATTATGCCATGTGTAATGAGACATAACAATCCCACAAAAGAATACTGTGAGAATAGCACTGAAATCGAAAAGCTGCAATACAATAGAGCCAAACATTGTGGTGAGACCGCCTTTAGCATAACACGAAAGAGAGAGGGTGCCTTACAAGTTCAAGGAAACCTTACTTCAGCTAGCATATACGATAGGTAAGCCATAAGCATCATGAGAGCAACCTCACGATCAGTGGAGTGCCTGTTTTGCAAGAAGAGGAAACTATGAATGAGGACACTATTATTAAAAGGACCCAAACTTCCTGCCTTCACTTATCACACAAGCAAGTATTTACCATTGCATATAACTAATCATATATAACAGTAGGATTCAGTGAAGAAAAAGGAGAAAATTAAAAACTGATTCTAATTGTAGTATTTGGTTCAGATATTACTTGAATGTATTCAGTTCAGTTTATTTCTAACTTAGTGAAAATGCTTTATAAAACAACTGTATTGTTTTAAATTTTAGAAAACTATTGAAGTGGTAGGATTCTAGGTTCAATAAAAAAAAGCTGCACATTTATCATAAAGCTTTTTAAGAGCCGACTGAACCATTGTCATCCCAACTTTTAAGGATAATAAGTATATATACAATCCTATCATGTTCAACCGAAATTGTGGATGCGAGAAGTTCAACTATTCTACATTCATATCCCATGAAATTATTGGATAATTCAATTAGCGCTAAAATAGAGCTTCTTAAACAAACCTTCCAAAATAGAGCTTTTTAATAATATAAGCACTAAGCAATCCGGCCTGTAGAAGACGAACAAAGATGATGAAAGATATCCAAACCAAAATCAAGGAAATTCAAACTGGGAAGAGAAAGAAAACCTCACCAAAACTCCCAACAAAGTACTTAAAATAAATAAATACAAAAAGTTTCCGACATATTGCAAAGCAATGGCTGAGTCAAAGTGAGAAAGATCAAAGCTCTGGATTGCATTGAAAAGAACAACTGATGTGGCATCATTGACAACTCCCTCTCCAAAAACCAGACTGTATAATAAAGGTGTCTCATCTTGATTAAGAACCTGTCCAGACAAAGAGAGGATAAATAGGTCAGTACAAGTTATGTTACTCGGACTTGGGTATGAGCATTGAATACGGGTGTAGAACAAAAACAATCCTAGAAAAATGAACAGTAAAGCAACATAGAGAACAACTGCCCTTCAAAAGTTCTAATAAGAATCTAGATCTCACACATACATACTTGCAAAGTGCAAACAGAATCTGTCGCAGAAAATATTGCACCGATTGCTGCCAGTTAAGAGAGTAAGAATTAGTAAAAGACAAAAACATAAAATTCAACAATAAATAGGAACAAGGTAGCAGCACAAATATTACCAAGATAATCCCCTATGGTAAGATCACCAATATTCATCTTCTTGAGGAAACGTATGGCACCTAAGTCACAAAAATTGAAGCAAAATTAATAGATAGTAGGATAATTATTCAATTAATTATGTTGCTCTGACTTTTCTTTTCCTAAGTACTCAAGTCAGACACCCGTGTCGGACACATTTTCAAACATGGGCACAAGGATATAATCCTCTAAGGATTCTTCAAATACACGAAAAATTTTGAAACTGCTGAACATATCAATGCCACAGTCCAGACACATGACCGTATCTAGCACTCACACCCAAATCTGAGTAATACAGATGCAATGTACAGTTATATAAACAAATAACTTAAGGGCAAGGTTCCAATTATTCCATCATCATCCTGAACAATCTTTTAACCAGCCATGATATGACAAATTTAGCATAAAGTGTCATGCGCTTAAGACTTGGGTGTCAGCATTGGATAGGGACTATGTCCCACACTGATATGTTCAATTTTTCCTAAGTTTTTCCATGTATTTGGAAGGATCTCACAGGGTCATATTCTATACCCACGTCTCAGTATGTGTTAGAAACAGGTGTTTGGACAGAGATACTGTAAGTAAAATAAACAGTGAGTTTCAATTGTAATCTGAATCCAATGGATTTCATAAACCAGCCACCTTCAACTAAACATCAAGTTGCTCAAGGCAACACATGCAGGGTAAGACCTCTGAGTTTCAGCAGCAAATTGTAATATGAAATATACGGAGGCTATCAAACCATTAAACATACCTACAGAAATGATGCCAAAAGAGATTAAAGTACCAACAGCACCAAACAGCATGATAGTCATAAAGTTGCGGAAAAATTGCTTCTTCTTCACCTGGAATCTGATATAAAGAAAAATACCAATTATTGTCAATGCTCAGCAGCTTTTAGGTTAGCAAAAAATCATTATCACAATACTATGTTACTTAGACTCAAATGTGATTGTCAAAACAGTATGTGTCCAACACACGTATATTCAACTTTTCCCAAGTTTTCCATACATTTGATTTTTGAAGATCTTTGGAATGTCATATGTCTATACCCATATTTAAAACATGGGTTGCACATGAATGTTGGGAAAAAATATTTCTAGAAAATAAAGAGTTGGCATACCATAGTTCCAGTATATGGTCCTAAACGGGTCCCATCCCAAAAAAACGTGTAGGCCCCATGCCACCTTCTAAAAAGAGGCCCTCAAAATATTTTATAAGAAGATGAAATTGTAAAATATCAAAATTTATTATATTACGATTATTTCTTATAAAATAAAAGAAAATTTCAAATATATAAAACTAAGACAATGTCACAAAACAACCCTATAATCGTTACATTTTATTTAAAAAGTGTCATCCTCCAAACACTTTTAGATCCAAAATCATGACATTTTGGGTCCTAAATTTGGGGCTTTGTGACGTATGGCCACACTTGTAGATGGACGGGTCTGGTCCTAAATTAAACCCAAAAAAAATACACACACATTTAAATGCAATTTCACTTGGGACAGCTAAAACAAAAATCAAGTTCCTCAAGAAATCAATTCAATACAAAAGTAAAGATTAAATGCAAGCATCAAAAACTCACCCCGCATTGAAAATAATAGGTGGAAGCAAATAAATGAAGAACAAATCTTCACTGAACACTAGAAGATGAGAGCTTTGTCCTCTGGTTGTAAGCAGAATTACAGCTCCAGTGCATAGTCCCTGCAATGGAAAAAAATCAAAATTAATGGCTTTTGTTTCTTTAACAACATACGCGCGCGCGTGTACAAAAACTAAAACTTACAATGACAAGGGCAGTAATTGACTCGTTTATCCATCGATTTTCCTCTAGCAAATGACCGATCACGACACACCCGCAAAGGAGCGCCACAAATAAGTTTATTGCAACTACTGAGCCATGATCAGAGGCTAAAATCTTCTCTGAATTTGCTAAAGCAGAGCTTATTATCCCTATCGCCATAGTATTAACAACTAAGAATCAAATGATACTGAAGAACGAACTAAGAGTTTAATTTTATAATAACTCGGAACTTAATTTTAGATACGAAAACTCCCATTCCAGCTGCTAATTCAGAAGGAAAATCTGTGGAAAAAAGAAAAGAAAATAAAATTATACACGGAATTTAAACTTAGATAAGTCAATTAACCAAAGCTCAGTTTCTAAACATTTCTCGTTTGGCTGCTGAGAAACAGAAAAGTAAGAGAAAATAAAATGCAAAATAAATATAATTTCCAGAGCGAAAAAGGGGGAAAAAAGAGAAGGCGGAATATTCAAACTCTCAAAGCAACCAAAATCTTAATAAAAGAAAAACACGCAAAATCAAATTATCTTACCTTCCTCCCGACTCTTTTTCTCGTCGGCCAAACAGAGCCACTACTACGACTCAAATTGAAGGCTTCAAATATAAAGAGGAATTTATATACATATATATATATATATATATAAAGTCAGAACTCGGAATGCAACTCATGTCAACTTCAGTTCCGAGGTCGAAAACTGTTCAACTGAGAATAAAACGCCTTCGTTTTGGATCACAAAGCTCCAACTGGAATCTGATTCGGTATCTTATCCCACAATGATAAAATGCTGAATGTTGATTCGAGTTGAAAACAACGGTGAGAAAATAACTTACTAATTATTTTAAAAAATAAGGTATATCTTTACTATATGTCCCTATTCTCTTTATACATTTAAATTTCAGTATCTCGAGTTTTATTTTGCGTATTTTACTTAAAAACTGAAATTCAATTGACCGTTAGATTAAATTATTTGGTATTTAATATATATATATATATATATATATTCTTGTGATTAATTTAAAGTAGCATGAAACTTACACTGGCAAATCAAATTATTGACACGACCACTTTATGGTACGTGAAACGTGGATTGTTTGATACGAAAAATAAAAATCAAAACTCAATTCGTTAATTTTATATATTAGAGTATTATGTCATAGTGAAGTAAGTTCAGAGTGTGGTTACAAACTTAAATGTTTTCGCTCTTAAAGACTTTAGAGTGCTTCGATATTTTTTTAGGTGTTGAAGTTCACTATGATTCTAACGGGGGTTTACCTATAAATTAGAAAAACTATATTCTTGACTTCTTGCAGAAATATGGATTTGTAAGTGCAGGGAGTGTTCCTACTTCCTACGCCAATGATCATGAGTTATAAGTTCTCTTTAAATGATGGAAGTCCTATTGAGAATGTGACTGAGTTTCGTAGTATTGTTGGAGCTCTTCATTACATTGCGATTACTAGACGACATAACGTTTGTTGTTAACAGGGTTTGTCAATTTATGCAGACACCTTGCGATGCATATTTGTTGGTTGTTAAACGTATTCTTCGCTATTTACAGGGAACCATTGATTTTGCTTTACATTTTTCTTCTTATCGTTGCTCGACTATTATAGGGTTTATTGATGCTAACTGGGGAATGATGTTGATGATAGGCATTTAACGACGGGTTACTATCTTTTTTTGTGGGAATCCTATTTCATGGTGTTTTCGGAAGTAACAGGTTGTTGCTCAGTCAACCGCGAAGTTTGAGTATCGTAGTGTTACATGTGCTACATCTGAGATTTATGGCTTCAGTCTTTGTTGCGTGAGTTGTATGTGTAGTCTGAAGGTGAGCATGTTATGTGGTGTGACAACACAAGTGATATCGTGGTATCAACAAATCCAGTTTTACATTCGAAGTTTAAACATGATGAACTTGACTTTTTTTTTTGTTCGGGAACAAGTTGCTGCTGGGAAGTTGCATGTGAATAAATACCAATGTATGAATTAAATACCAGCATATGAACAGGTGGCAGGTGTTTTCACCAAGCCTTTGTCTACTCCGTCTTTTCATAGACATCTACTTAAGTTGTGTGTGGATCCTATGCACCTTATGAAAGAAGTGGGTGTCAATAAAGCTTCTGTTGACAGGTTTGATTTTGTTTATAGGAGTATATATGATTTCTATTTCTTTTGATGTTGCTCTTCTTATTTTCAAATGGTTGTCTTTTTCTTTGTTGGTTGTTGTTTGTTACTTCTGTTTGCTATTGGTTGTTGTGTGTTTCTCCTGTTGGATTTTGTTGTTTTTTCTTGCTATATTTCTATAGGTTTGGCCTTGTTTTTGTTTTCAAAGAAAAAATGGTTTGTAAGGGGAATATTAGAGTATTATGTCATAGTAAAGTGGCATTGCAGAGTAGGTGTGTGTGTTGCATCACTCAGAATGTTTCCTATTGATAGTTTTTAAGGTTTATGTCCGCGTTTTGTGAGTACTAATATGGACGTGAAATATGTGCAAGTATACACAATCGAACAAGTAATACAGTGATGAGTGAGTATCGTATCCACAGGGATTGGAGAGATCTTGAGTAAAGTTTATGCACTATTCTAAAGTGACTAAGTATAGCTAATGGTATTCACAAATGAGAATTCTATGGCAAAATGAAATGGATGTTGGTGGGAATTGAATGATGGTGTAATGTAATGTGGCAATAAATAGAGATGTTGTGGCAAAATAGATGGAAATGTCTTGGCAAAAGTAAATTGAGTGTAGTGAAATCAATTGAAAATGTAAAGGCAAAACAAAATATAAATACTGGATTTGATTATAAGGACTTTAGATTCCTCACACAACAAGCTATTATGGGAATGAATGATAGGAGTCACTTGGGAAATTTAAGTCTACTTCTCAGAATAGTCTTACTTCTATGCCTTATCTGCCCGATAGCGTTTACTAAGAGTGTCATATGTTATATCTAGTTAAGGGACTCGACAGGTTGAAGATGTCTTGGCAAACCAGTTGGCGTTAGCTATTGCAGGGATCCTATTGGTCCAGATAACAGGATATGTCACGTCAATACCTTTTTGCGACAATATTAACATCTCGATCACGCATTACTCCTTTTAGTCGACTGAAATCCTACCCTTATTTCTAAGGTGGATTAGGCCTAGTTACTACCTAGAACCCCTTGCTTATGTGGTTATTCCCTAGTTTCTCTTGAACACTAAATATGTGCTACTTAGACATTCTCTTACGCTAAGTAATCTCAAAAGGAATGGCTACTCTCATAGCTCCTACAACCTTAAGGCATTAAACTTCATAAACAAAACAGACAATAACATACAAAATAACCATTCATTAAAGTAAAACTTAAATATCCAAAATGAACTCCCACCAAATAAGACTAGTTCATGGTGGGGTTCAAATGTTTCAAGCACAAAACAAGAAGTTAATATGTTCCTTACAACCCAAATGATAAAAATAAAAGCAAAGAGCAAAGGGAATGATGAAAAGCCTTTGACGTGCACTGCCAGAGCTTCTCTCGGCCACCACGAATTACCTAGCGAGCTAACTCATCTCGGACGCCTAGTTCGCCACTCCCTCTAGCTTGTTAACGGAGGAAAGCCACGGCAAAAACGATTGATGGAAAAAGGAAAGACATTTTTCTCTCTAAAAATAAGCTCAAGACAACATGTCTAAAGTCTCTTTACAATGTGACTTCATCTCCTATTTATAGGGGAGAATAAACCTAGGAATTTGTGTTAAAATTCCTAGGATACCCCAAATCATGCTTTATTCACGTGAAGGTGAGAAGAGGTGGCAGTGGTCCCCTTGGGCAACTGTAAATGGTCCAGCCTGGGAGGCTGGCTGAGTACCCGACAAGATTAGGCTGCAGTAGGTTGAGGTCCAACAGAATCAGCTGCAGCAGGGCATGGTCCGATAGGATCAGTTGCAGCAAGGCGTGGTTCGGCAGGATCAGCTACAACAGGGAGTGGTCCAGTAAGATCAGCTGCAGCACCGCGTGGTCCCCTCTAGGCAGATATCTCCTCACGGGTAAAGATCACATAAAGATAGGGATAGTTGGCTCTAAAAAATATCTTATTTCATTTTGTTCGCTCTCAAAATGCCAACTGAATCGGCATTTGCGTTCTGCTTAGCAGTCTCATCATGTCACAGTATTTCCCTTTTTATTTTCCTTGCTCCCAAATCTTGTACATCACCAAACAAGCACCTTTCCCATAAAGCAGCACCGATTACAAAATAAAATGTCGCAGCAAATAGAATTCCACCACATCTAACTATATGCTCCTAAATGCATCTATATATTCCTAAATAAGCTCTTAGACAGTCAATAACTTAAGTGAAAAGGTCTCAAATATGACCTTTTTATGGAGTTATCAGTTTAGGATGTTAGGCCGTTTCCTAACTAACTTCAACTATTAGTGTAACGACCCAGATCCCAGGTTAGGAGATTTGGGCTAACCCGAGATAGGTTTTCATTAAAGCCCTAGCTTGTAGGAAGCTTTGACCCAAATTGAAGTGAATTGGGCTTGAGTTAAGCCCAATAGAGAGTAAAAAGGGATATTGTTAGTTGTAGTCCGAAATCAAAGGGAACAAGGGAGTAATTATACCATTGCTCCAAATAAAGAATGAAATCCAATTAAGATTGGTGATCACACGATTGAACCCAACTTTCTTTTTTTGCTATGTTATTTGTCTTCTCCTCCCACTATTTGCTTCTCCCTTTGGCAAGAACAAACGTAGAAGCTTTGTGCTTTGTAAGCTCAGTTCAAGAAAACTAATGTAAGTTTCATAATCCTCATCACCTCAGCTTCAAATTAATCTCTCAACTTTCTCATTCTACCATGGTAGCCAAAAATGGGTTTAGTGGGGGGTTTTAGAAACCCAACTATTTTTAACTTATTTTGGGGAGATTTAGGCTTCTTATAACATTTTAAATTATTCTCTAATCATCCCAACAACATTAGTAATTTATATACTTGATTTTGTCTAATGAGAGTAGTAAGGGAAAGCTCTCAAACAATGGGAAATGAAAAGCTCACATTGGGTTGACCTTTGGGCACCCTTAGTAGCTTAGAATCATCAGGTAACTCATTTCTAACTCAACTATACAATGTGTAGCTCATTAGATGAGTTTTGATAGATTTCATAAACTTGAA